TGTGATACGTTTTAGATTTGGTTCTTAAATGTACGAATTTAAGGATCTACAAGAGTCAAATCTAAGCAATATGTTAGTTGACATCAGTAATGGTAAAAGAACCTTAAGAATTATGTTGCAATTAAGGTATGCATACTTTATTTACTTAGTTTCTCACATTCTTTTTTTGTTTATTCTTGTGGCAAAGAGTTTTTTTCCCTCAAAATTTTAAGTGATTTGAATTCTAAATCGGGTCACTGGAGTTAGTAAATCGGGTCGTCATCCATCACGAACCAGGGATGATTGAACCCAGGTTGTGGTTCGCTATAGCATCACACGTTCCTGACATCTATGATTATAAGCTACAAGTATAACTAGTATATGATACTTTTAGCTAAATACTAGGAGCTTTTCAATATTAGTCCCCAAATGATTCATGTTTTATAATTAGTCCCTCAAATCTTCATATTTTGAAATTAGACACCCAAAATTTTAAAAATTTTACAATTAGTCCTCCAAATCTCTTAAGTGTTTTGAAATTAGTCCCTACAATTAGTACCGGGTTAAAATATTTGGGGTCTAATTTCACACACTTAATGTATTTTGGAAATTAAGTTTAAAATATGAAGATACGGGTGACTAATCTCAAAGTATGATAGATTTGGGGAACTAATATAAAAAAAACCTAATATTAATGAGGTCAATACAAAATGTGCTATGTAGAAATAAAGAAATAAAATAGAGTCAATAGAAGTACCTTACTAAAATTCTTTACAATTGTTCCGTCCATGTCGCTCACAATTTGCGAGTAGATTCCTCTCACGATTACAGAGGCGGAGCAAAGACCGAAGGGGTTTTTGTTTTAGAATTTGGGGGAATCTATCATCAATGAGAATTTAGGTACTAGGTAAAGCATTTGGTAAATGGTTTGAGTTTGGTCCTAGACGTTTATTTTCAAAACCCTTGGCGACGGGGTCAATAAGATCAAATATTGAGGGGGCAATTTGAAAATAAGGGCCTAATAGTAAATACTAATCTTGCAAGGTCAGTGGGGACAATTGCCTCCCATTGCCCCCACCTTGAATCTGCCTATGGTAAGAGAGAACTAGTTGGTCTATGACTACTGGCAGGCACAAGGAAATCTCCTCCTGAGTGCTCCAGTAACAATCAGTAATATTGTCCCCATAAACGACACTAGAAGTTAAGAGGGCAAGTGAGAAAAATATGCATGCATGAGATGAGAAATAAGTGTACTATTTGAAATAATAACTCATGCGCATGTAAGTTGTCTATTATGCCAAAGATAAGACCTGCATTTTAATTCTATTGCAAGTCATGAATGTATCAAATGCCATAATAAAGGGTGTAAGTCAGTCAAATACTCCACATCAGTAACTCAGTCAAAACTCAGCAGTCAAGCTTATATTTCATGTAACCATGTTATAATATAAAGTGCTTCCACAATTATTTACATGGTTCTAAACACGTTCCATGAGAGCGTTATCTATAGCTCACGTCACCTAGGTGGTTATCATAAAGGAGGTTGTCGTATTATATAGTGTTTACTATTTATCTTAGCTCGCTAACTGCTATTAGTCCACAGCTATTTAACAACTTACGTTTTCTTGGAAAAATTGTTCTTGGCATCACGGTACTCTGTGTTCAAGATGTCTTACATTCAAACATTCCATGCGCGCAACAAACTCCCACGTGCTGGAGAGTTTTATTAATATTAATTTGATGTACATTGTTAGTCCACAACCCAATAGCTTCTTTTTAGGTTTATGACATATATTCACAGCAAGAGCGCAAAAAGACCATGCACATAGTACATAGTAACACGTTGTAAATCATTTTTATGCAATGCATAATCGGACAGAAAGTTTGGGCCGGTCATCTTTATAGTGCAAAAAAGGAGAGATGCACCGAGAGCATTGGACACAAATGATAATGACAAGATAAAACCTCTATTGACAGGTTTGCATGCTTGTCCTATAAACTTAGCCTTGAGTAAAGAAATATAGAAGAGAAAATTTTGAGGGGTCGCCGCAATAACCCACAACCGGTAAAATAATACAAACACTGCATTTTCAACAGGATCCATAGCATGTATTTGCGGCCATGTCAGGTTAAATTTGTTAATCTTATGTTATATAGCACAATAGACAAATAAAAACATTCCCATATCAATATTTGTTATCTAGCTCGAAATCTACCTTAAAGCCATCTAAATCGATAAGACACAATCCCAGAGACAAATCAACACATCAAACGTAATTAACCAACTAAAAATAGACCAAAAAAATTACAAACCAATTAAAACAAAATTCTCCGAACGACTGACCTTAATCCTTCCTGGCAAACAAGTAGCAATTTACTGTCAGCAGAGAACTGATCCTTCACTGATCGAACAAAATCAGGATTGGGTTTGGTAAAGGGAAGCCCAAAGAACAGTCCTGAGAAGTTGTTGTGTACTGTCCTTTTAACAATTGTGCCTGTGAAATCCAAAACACCGAACTATACATTATTACCACCACCATCATCATCTTCGATATAAAAAGGAAATTGGCAAAGACGTATAGCTCTAATAAAACACGAAATTAAAGGCCACGACTACTATATTAGCAATTCATAGTACAAATTATACATTGAAGGGGAGTTCATACCAAAATCATTGTCATTGTTCTCGATGAAGAGGGGAACATGAGAGCAAGACCTGATATGTGCTCGTTCGAACTGGGTTCTGTCTCGTACATCGACGACCGTGTATCCCTCCTCTGTGACTAGCCTCTTTGCCTCATCAGCATTAACGAAATTCACTTCGGACCTAACCACTGCACTTCTCTTCAGACAAAGTTTTTGATTTCTGGATTTGGATGGCTTGATTCCCAAAGTAGACCAAGTACCTCTAGAGAAAATGGTGAAGTGGATTCGGTTGAGTTCTTAGTGGAAAAAGCCAATTAATATTTATTCCAGAAATTTACTCAATTTGGTGATCATAAGTTGAAAACTAGGGCATCCAAGCTCAGAAAAATGGAACCCATTTCTTTTGAATTTAAAACCTACCCATTTAAAATTCGGGTTACAATCAACATCCTGCACTATGAAAGTTCGGATATTGTTTATCCCGCTGCACAAATTATAGGGTTTTCATTTGTGAGGGCAGCTGGGCTTTTTTTGTGTGGGGGTCGGGGGGGGGGGGGGGCGGGGGGGGGGGGGGGTAGCGAGAGCGAGAGAGAGAAACCTTAAAGAAGAAGAGGCTGAACATAATCCGAGAACTGCCATCGAATTTTGGGGATTAAGAAAAAAAAACTTCAAACCGGGGATTTAGGGTTTCCAGCTAGTTTCCACTGGCCATCGACATGGAGCGAGGGAGGTGCAGGGGAGAATCGCTCCAACCAACAGGCCTTGGCCACGTGTAACATTTAGGAGCACGGATAAGTTGATAATTCTGGCGGGAACCGATCCTGGCCGGTTCTTCAATCATTCTAGATGCTGTCAAGATCATGTCATCCGCAGCATCACACATACAAGCAGAGATTTAAAAAAAAAAACTAACGGTAAGGTAACAGTAATCATCTGATCAGTATCAGATTAACAAAGGATCTAACATCTCCAAAGTGGTTTCTCTACAAAAAGCTCTCAGTAAAAATCATTACATACAGAAAAAAATTAGACTGCTATACCACAAGATGTATGAAAAAAAAAAGAACAATCTTGCTTTACATTTTAGCCTCATATTTACAGTTACCGAAGGGGCAAAGAGATTTTAAAAGTATTTCGTAAATTTTTTTTTAAGGGGACATTTAATCAGAGATGGTAGAAGAGGGTTGGTCAAAGTAAGGGAGAGTTGATCTGAAGGACATGTCAGGCATTATATTGAGCTTGCTAGCATCAACGGAACTCCGTTTCCTGTTAGAGTGGCGGTGCGGATGAGCCATCTTCTGAATAAGACTCGTCAGGCTTTCTGCTATAACTGTCACTGGGGGACGGAATTCTGGCTCCACCTGTATATTGCATAAAATCATTCACAATAAGCATCTATACTGTGCATGTATTCAGAGAATCAAAGTGCTGATGAGGAAATTAACGCAAAAGACCACGTTCACTGGCAGACATTTGGAACCTTGTATTTGCTCAATTGACTTAATTGGGTTGATTATTACCAGTGACCTTTCCATAAGAATATGGAGCTTTTTGAGTACTGCTTGGAATAACCAGCTATGAAGTACAACTCTCTCAATGAAGCCAAAACAAAGTTTAACCCCCCAAAAAGTTTTTGAGTTTCAACTTCCTAAAAGCCATTAACAGATACTCGATCGAAGGGAAAAGAGTGATGGCACAGGATACAACATCAAAGGCCAAAAAACCAGTTGAAAAGCAGGGTAGGACCTACCTCATTCGTTATTTAAAGCTTGCGCAAAATTGAAAGGAGGAGAGAACTTTGATAAACAAAAACTTGATAACTTGTCCTAGGCATCAGATAACAAAGTTCACTTTCAGAAGATAAGAAGGATAACTAATGAAACAAATCAATAATCCATACTATGAATTGACAGCAAAGCAAACTAGTTAACAATCCAGATAGGATAAACAAGCAAACTAGTAAATAATCCATACCTGAATGCATAACAAGATGATATCAGCAAAACGAGAGAGTATTTTGGAGGGAAAGGTGCCTCTAATTGCTGGATCAACCATCCCTTCTAAAGAGCTGGAGTCATGGAGACGAGAAAAAGCCCACTTGACCAACAGTTGCTCCTCTTCTATCTTTGAGCTGATAGTTTGACAGGAAGGTTGATTAAGCATGAGAAAATTGTGTGTTGCAGTATCTTTTTCTCTTCTTGTTCTTTTTAATATTGAGAGTTAAGATTCTGAGCAAAGCGCAATGACTGACCTGTCAAATGCCCTTCGTCCAGTTAATAGCTCCAACAAAACTACCCCATAGCTGTAAGTGTCACACTTAGTCATGTCAGCTCCAGGGACACTGAGTTCAGGAGCAGCATAACCATTTGAAGAAATAGGTTCCTCTCCAGCCTGCTTGATGGGTGAAACAAGCTTCACCATTAAATACAAACCATAAGGTTTTTCACCACTACAGCCATAGGTAGTAGTGTAAATTTCTAGCTGAAGTTGACAGGAAAAATATGATTGGTGTTTCAATGCAGAGTCTAAAGATGAGCGATATTAGTCCTAAAACAGAAGTAGGAAAAAAGAAGCAAATTCTCCACTTTTTCTTATTTTAGGAATATCCAAAGCCCCACATCTAAGTCCATCAGTACAATCTCCGCTATAGAATAGCATCTCTCAGTTGCATCAAATATTAGGTTTTGCCCATATCTCAGATTCCAGGATGAATTTCAAATTTATCTTCTTAAACAGGTTGAGTAGATATAACAAGCAGAAAGAGGCTATTTATAACCAGCGTGAAAAAAAATCTAAATATGGATCAGGAGCTGCAATTTGTAGACTCTCTATTAACTAAAACTAATTTTACTTCTGCCAGTACTACAATAATAAATTGATGGCAATTGGCAAATGCAGCCTAGTACTAACACCTTTTAGCAATTTTTTTCTATGAAAGTTGCAGAGGGCAAAACTAAGTTGAGTACCTTTTGCTTTCATACTCATTATAATAAACATGATATGCTAAAATATAATTCTGTAGTCCTCTCAATAAGTTAAAAGTGCAATAAATTACAGAATTAGCCCTAGAAGGAAAATTTTAGATGCCCTATGTAATTATAGGAAGGATCTTTCTGGCTCATCTTGTCTTAGCTGGGAATTAGGTGCCAACTTCTAGGGAGTCGAGTTAGGCTAATAACTACTTATAGAAATATTATTAAATCACAACAGGATCTTCCTTATTCTACAGTCCGAGGGGATTGTAGAATATACTTTGAAGGAAATTTTTTACAGGATGGATATTATAACAATACTGCTTTATAGATATGAACATTGCAAATTAAGAAATATGAGCGAAAATGACTATACCAGAATCAAGAATGTTATGATGCACATGTCGATATACACTAAGAAATAGGACAAGTAGTAAGTGTGTTTCAAATAAACTGAAGTTTGTTCCTATGGAGGATAGAATGAGAGAAATCAACTCAGATGGTTGGGTTGTACGCAAAGGAGACCACTAAATGCTCTAATTAGGAATATGACAAGATTATAATTAAAAGAGAAAGAAGAATTAGAGGTAAAGAAGAGTCAGATGTAGGCCTAAGAAAACTTGGTTGAAAGCAATAAACAAGGATATGATAGTACTTGAACTTAGTGGAGGAGATAACCATTAACAGAACGGAAGGAAAAAATAAGAGTCATGTAGACGAAACTTTGTTGAAAGTACCTTATTGACAATATAAGCCTTTATTATAAACTGAATAGCGTGAGACATTGAGATGTTACCTTCGGTTCTGAGTCAACAAGATTCCACAGCACAGTTAGTCCACAATCGCTGATATAAGGTGTCAGTTCATCATCAAGTAAAATGTTGCTTGCCTTTAAATTCCCATGTGCAATTGGAGGAGAACATACACAATGCATAAATCTATAAGCACATAACAGGAAAAAAAAAGTCCATTAACAATAAAAATAGTTGGAACCAACAGAAAGAAACTAATAATGTGATAGAAGAATATTAATAATGATTTCCAATCAGAGTTTATTAATGATTCTTTCAGGGGGGAAGTTGACCAGTATTTCAATAAACAAGTAACATTGCTATACTAAGGTTGTTTGGTAATTATTTATTTTGAAGAGTATGTGCCCCATAACAGGGGAAAAAAAGTCCATTAACAATAAAAATAGTTGGAACCAACAGAAAGAAACTAATAATGTGATAGAAGAATATTAATAATGATTTCCAATCAAAGTTTATTAATGATTCTTTCAGGGGGGAAGTTGACCAGTATTTCAATAAACAAATAACATTGCTATACTAAGGTTGTTTGGTAATTATTTATTTTGAAGAGTATGTGCCCCATAGGGCTATTCCCTCCATGGAAATCTGATCTCCTTATTTCCCAGATATCCCTTTACCATATTTTACTAAATAATTCTCAGTCGTAGGTTTGAACAGCTTGTCCCTTTGTTATCCACACATTAAAAATCTAATACTGATATCAAGTCAACAGATTTTCGGTGAAAAACTTGGAAATGATTGTGCTGAGAACTGTTAATGTACAATTACTTTTATAAGATATAACTTAACTATGGAGGAATGGAAATATATAGATATGAAGAAAAGAAGCTCAAGTTGAAAAACAAATACTCTAAAGCACGGGCCACATCAAGAGCAATCGCCACCCGAGCTTTCCATGAAAGAGCTCTATGTTTGTCATTGGCTGAAAAGAGAAAACCATCGAGTGACCCATTTCTAGCATAATCATACACAAGGATGTGTTCTCCTTGCTCCACTGAATAGCCAAAAAGTGTGTTGATGTTTTGGTGTCTGAGACAGAACAAATTCCAAAGAACATTTTGAAACTCCTCCTCTTCATGTGCAGCCAGTGCAACCATGTTAATCTTCTTCACAGCTAATATCTGAGAAAGCCATAAGACACGGGAATAAGAGACATAACA